TAATGATCTATTTATAGGAGGAAATTTTGGTTCCACTAAAAAAAGTTTAGTTTGGTGCATTTGTATTGATTCCACGCAAACCAATTTTAGAAAAAAAATTTAAATGCTTAATTATGTTTTAAGAAAAATATGAAGGCTTCATCATAATTAATATTTCACACCCTGAAATTACATGATGTCATAGATATATTAATGTTCTAAGTGAATTTAATAAAACCAATAATCGTATGATTTTGGAATATTTGCTGCTAAAATTATAACAAACTAGCAGACCCCGAGCGCGCGTTGTTGTGGCTCAAAATGTATCTACAGTAGAGCCTTGAAAACTCGGCCTAATGTGGACCGAAGGGTGGCCGAGTTTGTGAGAATGCCGGGTTATCGGGAATAGGGTTAAAAAAGAAAAAGTATGCGTGCTTCCTCAGAAAATATTGTACTGTACTTGTATGTATTGTTTGCTTGAGAATACAACAGAAAATAAACTGCCCAAATACCCTTAAACAAAGGAAAAGTACAGTACGTCCTTTATGAAGGCATAGAGCCTTTACTACATGAAAATGAAAATTAATGAATAGACTGTGTACAGTAATATACTTGATAAGACAGACCCCAGAAAAATACTTTATGAGGCAAAAAGCTGTCTATAATGAAAATAAATTAACTAAGGATTTTTTTGCTGTGCCAGGGTGTGGCCGAGTTATCCGGAGTGCCGGTTATCGAGTGCCGAGTTTTCGAGGCTCTACTGTATTATAAATGTATAACACTTTTCCCGTGGGGGGGAATTTTTCGAAAAATTTCTTTTTAGTGTACATTCTGTTGAAGTACCCTATTAAAACGGAATCAAAAACGCAGAAAACCGTATCTAAAATAGTATAAATAGAAGCAGAGTTCTTTACGGTAATCCTGTCCATTTCCCTTCAGTGGGGGGAATTTCGACACATATATTATATAAAAACACGTGCATATTCGAATGCAACGTTGTGTCAAAATTTCAAAGGAATCGGTAGGAACAAACGAACATTACATTTTTGTTTATATAGATAGATAGAAGATAATCCACTTTAGTTCATTTTCACAGAAAAGCGTAATGCCTCACAGAAAAGCAAACTTAGGGCGTCGTACTCGTAGCGCCATCTGTTGGACATAAAAGCCTTAACCTAGATTATATCTTTTAATATATATAAATGTTTAACGGAATAATACATAGCCTATGTCCAAGGACTTTAAACTACAAGGATGGCCAGATCCCGTATATTTGTTAGCATGACCTTGGATCTATGTGACGTCACAGCAAGTCTTCTACTTCAACATCACAGACCTTTCAAATAACAAAATACGATAAAATATTAAATCATTTCTTATTAATTATTAAATTACTACTAAATGTAAACTACTGTAGAATTTTCGGATTTAATAAGTGTACTGTACGTCAATAAATTTACAAGTCTTTTGTCTAATATTTATTTAACAAATTAATGAGCTATACTTTTTAATATGTGATTATCTTACTTAACTTTTTAATTTTTTTTCGACAATCACCATTTTCAGAAGGCATTCTTTTCAATATTTTATAGTTTTCTTGTTTAAGATTTCTATAATTAATTCTTATTATAGTTCTTAATTTACAAAAATCTTTTATTAAAGTAAAAGGTAAAACTGTTTCCACTGACTAATTCTGTACAACTCCGGGGCCTTTTTTATACGATTCATCGTGATATATTTCGAAATATTTATTCCATTCTATAATTTTTGCTAGCCATTCATCAGTAGGTTTAATAAGCCCTCCATAAGATAAACGCTGCACCCATGACGGAATGCTATAGTTGT